CCGGCACATATGTCTGCCTTTATTATCTCAGATTTTCAATTAAGGCTTCAATCATTCATTCTAGCCTATTAATCCTCAGATCAGAAGATTCAGTTTCGTTCACAATCCTCGCCCTTTCCCTTGTTTACTCACAACGGGGTGATTATCAATCCAGGAGAGGTTCTTACTGATTTCACGTTTTATTTCATATCAGACGTGTGTATGCTTTCAATTCAACTCAGGTACGGTCACATGACCCTTTACTACCACACGTCCATAATCACATAGATTCCATATTCGGTATTAACATTCACATTACATGTTATACCACTTTACTTCTTTAAGTATGCATGTAGGTTGCGTTCATTTCACCATAGACAATACGGTAATCATGAGCATAGACAGTTGCATACTTAAACACATTAACACATTTATTCAAATCATGGCCACACCTACTTCTCATGTTCATGCAATGCCCTAATTACTTTTCTAGGACATCCTATAGCTCACTTGGACACGTGTGTGCAGTATAACTCGTGGTTAAATATTGCTCTGATACCACTCTGTCACGACCCAAACCCGGCCCTATGGGTTTAGCACCGTAACCGGCCAGTAATCCGAGATTACCGAAGGCCTACCTAACAGTAAACCAGTAAAACAGAGTACAGGGCCTGGCGGAAGCTAATATAGTAAATGAACATTGTCCAATGAGCTGTGACAGTCTACACATACGTGTACAATCATTCAGAACAGGGATCTAATCCCTATTAAACGGTACAGTAACAGTCTATACAGTAAACAAAACAGTTACAGGGACAGACGGGGAATATTAAAACACCCCAAAGCCGAAGCTTGAATGGCTTAGAACCTCACAGTGAGGCACAGTGGTTGGCTGACAAAACAAAAACTTGCCTGACGCTCCTAGCAGCGGTCCAGTGCCTGAACACCTACATATATATATGAGCAGTGAGCTAAAGCCCAGTGAATAACATAATACGTAAAGAGGTTTAGGATGAATGTCTTTTCAATATTTAAACAGTTCATTGATTCAGTATATCGGTCAGTCAGTTTGTGGCTCATATTGATGCCGTAACAGTCATTTAGAAATCATAGTAATCATACGTGGCACGTCTGTCAGCAGTACTAGTAGCTGTGTCAGTACAGTAGCAGTACAGTAGCAGTAACGGTAACAATATAGTAACAGCACAGTAGCAGTACAGTAGCAGTAACAGTAACAGTACAGTAGCCGTACAGTAACAGTAACAGTAGCCGTACAGTAGCAGTACAGTAACAGTAACAGTAACAGTAGCCGTATAGTAGCAGTACAGTAGCAGTAACAGTAACAGTAACAGTACAGTAGCATTTCAGAAAACAGTACAGTTCTTATGGATTCAAGAGGTGTCTCGCACAGACTCTAGAGGTGGCTCACTCTGTAGCACTTAGTTCCGTGCAGCACTTTGCTCCAAGTTTCACAGATTATAACAGTCATATGTGGTACATCCAATAGCTAAACAGTACAGTAGGTCTTAACAGACCAGGTCTTAATAGACCAAACAGTGAATGATGGCCATCATAGACCAAACAGTGAATGATGGCCATCATAGACCAAACAGTGAATGATGGCCATCATAGACCAAACAGTGAATGATGGCCATCATAGACCAAACAGTGAATGATGGCCATCATAGACCAAACAGTGAATGATGGCCATCATAGACCAAACAGTGAATGATGGCCATCATAGACCAAACAGTGAATGATGGCCATCATATCAGTAAACAGTAGTGGTTCCAACATGGGAACCGACAGAGATCTCTGTAACAGTAACAGTAAGCAGTAGTTGCTAAGGATGCCACAATACAGTTCAGAATATATGTCATACATTCATTCATTCATTCAGTTAACAATACCGTTCAGAAACAGTTCAGTTAAATTGTTCAGAAGATAATCAGTTTGAACATATCTTTACACAAATGTTACTCACAGAGTTCTGGGCTATAGTAAACTAGAGCGTGTCTCCCCAGTCGCCAACCCTACACAGTTAACAGATTGAACACACACTAAGCTACACAGTTGGGAAAGATAATAACTTAACTCCTAATTTGCCTTGGTGTGTTCTACATCTAAACAATGTGTATTCAAAAAAAATTCAAAACTCCAAACACTGGGATCGGGACCCACTTATCCAACCATCTTCCACACATATTCATATGCCACTTCACATCTCAACCATAAAACCAGAAAGCATGAAAGTAGTGTTCTAAAGCTCTACCGTACACAAAAATGGCTACTACTACAACAACAACAACTTCTCTTCTACCAAAATCCATCTCACCTTTCCCCACAAACCCATCATCTTCTTCCTCATCATCTCCCCTAACCCACTTCCCCAATAATCTCTCCTTTAACCAACCGCCTCTCTCCACCAAAAAACCCACCACCACTCTCATTCCAAACGCCACCAAGAAAAAAAAGAACCCATGGCTCGACCCTTTCGACGACGGTGATGACCCCGAATTACAATACGGCTCTCTCTTCACCGATGGCAAGCAAGAGGAAGATCCAAGACCACCCGACAACCCTGAGAACCCGTATGGATTCCTCAAATTCCCAATGGGTTACAGTGTGGAAATTGCTTCTCTGGGTCTGAAGATCAGAGGCGATGTTTGGCGATGTTGTTGTGTTGTCTCGGGTGGTGTTTATGAGAACTTGCTGTTTTTTCCGGCAATTCAGTTGATTAAGGATCGGTATCCTGGTGTTCAGGTGGATGTGGTGGCGGCGGGGAGAGGGAAGCAGAGTTATGAGTTGAATAAGAATGTGAGGTGGGCTGATGCTTATGATCCTGATGAGGATTTTCCTGAGCCTGCTGTTTATACTGACATGATTGGGATAATTAAGGTTTGTTTGTGTATTTTGTGTGGTAATTCTTGTTCATTTCTCTTAGCAATTTAAGAAGATTTTGATTTATTTTTTATTTATTTTTGATTTATTTGTCTTAATTGCATTCTTAAACTTCACACACTAATCTAACGTCGTTTCTTCTCTTAATTGTTGTCTAACGAATACATGAAAAATATTTTCGCTAAGAACATTTTAGCACATCAATCAAATAGTCAAAATGCCATGTAATGGAGTTGGGCCTCTTTTTGGGCCGGCCGGCCGCCGCCTTTGGCTATGGCGGTCGGCTGGCCTAGCTCTTTCCGCCGTTGTTTGTTAGTTTTTTCCTTCAATAAACTCAATTCTCCCATTTTTCCCACCTAGGTGTGTTCTATGTTGCTGAGGTAGGGGACATCCAGGATCTTCATTCGTGCGCTCTTTTGCGAGTAGGAGCTTGAGGGGTGAACTCTGGTTCAGATTGGTGTAGATGTATCGATGCTTTGTTTGGGTGGAAACATGGGTGTCAAAGCCGATCCAGATCTGTCTGGTGTTCATTCGAGCGTTCCTCTTCGAGTGAGAGTTTGAGGGGTGAACTTCCGGCGGTTGGTAGGTGGTTTGGTCGGTGTGTGGATTTGCAGTGGGTGTGAGTAAGAAGCTTAGGCGTTGCAGCAGTCGGTATTGGAGCTGCAATGTCAAGTACAGCAGGGGAGTTGCAGCAGCATAGGCGCTGGAGTTGTTCGGTGTTCAGGTGGGTGGTTGGCCTTGGGAGTGACCAGCGTAGGCGTGGGTCTTGAAGCTGTTGGCGTGGTGATTAAGTTGTGGAGTTTTCGGTGGAGCTATGGAGCTGTTGGAGCTATGGAGTTTCCGGTGGTGTGGCCCATGGAGCTGTTGGCTATGGAGTTTTCCGGTGGTGGCCTTGGGACAGGGCTGGCCCTGAGTTCGTCAGGGCCTAAGGCGAATTTCGGAAATGGGGGTCCTTTTATATTGAAAAAAAATTCATGAATAAAACGATAAGTTACAATTTTTTTATTTGTTTGTAACCATAAAAAAATTTACTTACACATATAATCATTAAAATTATAAATAAAACAATTTAATAAAACAAAATTAGAACAAAAAAATTAGGAAAAATTTATTCAATTAAAATTGATAAAGACCTAGGTAAAAAAATTTGAGCAAAATTATTTATTCCACTAAAATCTAATAGATAAAGAAGGTAAAAATAAAAAATAAAAAAAATAGGGCCCATATATTGTATGTATTATTTTTCTTGAGCCCAAACACTTTTTTTTTAATATATATTTTCATTTTAATAAATATGGACCAAACTACACTTATAAATAAATATGGAGTAAATCATACATGGACCCAAAAAAATATTTTGGGACCCTTTAAATTAATCCTAAAATCAAAAAAAAAAAAAACATTGAGCCTATAATATTTTACCAAATTTAGGGGCCCTATTTTTGGGCCAAATTTAGGGGCCCTATGTTATATATGTTTATATGTTTTACCAAATTTAGGGGCCTTATTGTTATTTATTTATATATTTTCATTTTAATAAATATGGGCCAAACACATTTATAAATAAATATGAGCTAAATTATACATGGGCCCAATAAAACATTTGGAGCCCTTTAAATAGATCTTAAAACCAAAAAAAAAAAAGGTTAAACCTATAACAATTTTTTTAATTTGGAGGCCCTATTTTTGGGCCAAAATATGGGGCCTAAGGCACAAGCCTTACCTGCCTTAGGGCAGGGCCGGCCCTGCCTTGGGAGTGCAGCAGCATAGGCGTTGTGTAGCCTTGGGAGTGTAGCAGATCAGGTGTAGCAGCGTGGGTCTTGGCGTGATGAACAAGTTGTGTGCAGGTGGGTGGTTGGCCTTGGGAGTGCAGCATCATAGGCGTGGGTGTGTGCAGTAGCATAGGCGTGGGTGTGTGCAGCAGTTTAGGTGTTTTGGTGGGTTGAGTTTGTGGGAAATCATGTATTTTATATTCTGTTAAATCCTTCTTAACTTTTTTCTGTTTTGAAAAAAAATCGTGAGGTCAAAGGGTTGGTTGTATGGTTGCGAGTAGTAGTAGTAGGGGTATTTCGTACTTTCCGAATCTCTCTCAGTACATTTTATCTTTCTGTACCTTTAATTTCATGTTGATTAATGAAATTTTTCTTTACCAATCACAAAAAAAAAAAAAAAAAAAAAAAACTTTACAAAATTATTGCTCTACTGTATTCTTGCAGTGATTTTTTTAATGTCTTTTTATAGCTAAAATTTTCTTCTTTCAATCATTTTTGTGGTTGGCTTCTTAATTACAACCACTCGACTGCTCCTCTTAATCACACACCTTCTCACTTCAACTCCTCACTGCATACTATGATACCTTTACACCATTCCATCATAACCACAACATGGAGGCAAGCATGGTGCACCCCTTTAATGTGGTTTTAGACTTCCCTCAAAAGAATTACATGCGAAACTTTGGAGAACTTTTACTTACAAATAGTAAATATCTGATAACATTCATAATACACACGGAGTATACTCGTACATTATGCAAAACATAATGTACAAATAAATGCAATAAGATAATTATTTTGCACATGAAATTCAAATGAGGAGTCGTCTCTTCTTCCTCAACTAGAACATGTATGATTTAGAATTGCTATACAGCTAACTTCAGCTATAACCCACATTGCGTGGAATGATGATTGTATATGTAAAATGAATGAGACCTCTTAGTCGACTCCCAAGATCATTTTTTGTCTCGAACAATGACATCTTGTGAAGACTATTCTAATGGGGACTATAATATATTTGGAAGAACTTCTATTAATTAGTTGATTTCTTAACTAGCCCACCTTTCTTGACTTAAAAGAGCATACGTATAATTTCCTTAGTTTTTTTTTTTTTTTTTTTTGGACCTTTTCAAAGATGGGGTGATATATTCTACAAGTGAAAAGTAATAGACTGAGCTTTAAAATCAAAGGTGGTCCATTCAAATTTTCGGATGGATTGGACCAGAACATGAATCAAACCTCATGCATTGAAAAAATATATATATAGTATGGGTGTGTAAAGGAATTCCTCCTCTTACTATGCGAGCTTGTAGTTAGTTAGACTACTGTACCTTATCTCTGTTTGGCAATAGCTAGAAAAGCTAATATTTTTTTCATTTTTTATTTTTTGTTTTTAGTGTAAAAAAAAATTTATAATTTTCAGGTTTGTCTGTAGTCTAGAATGTTCAAAAAAAAATCAATTTCAAATTTTTTTCGTCTTTAGTACACCTTTTTTTTAAAGAAAATTTTGTTTTTTTATTTTTCAGATCAGTTTAGTCTAGTAGGATTTTAAAGTAATAAAAAATATTTTAAAAGGTTCACTAAAAATGAAAATAAAATAAAATAAAAAAACTAACAAAAAAATATTAAGAAAAATTGTGAACCAACTCTCGTACAATAAAAAAATAAAAAACACTTGTCATTTTTAAAAAATAGTTTTTTGTGACAAATATTTTTTTAAATTTTGAAAATATTTTTTTTTGTGATAATTTTTTTTAAAAAAAAATTGAAAATATTTTTTTGGAGTTTATTTTAATTTTAAAAAATAAATTATGAAAACTCAACCAAAGGATAAATAAGAGGTGTTTGATAACATGATTCAGCACTTAAAACTGAATTAATTAAGTGATAATCAATTAAATCCGTTTAATAACCATAATTGATATCACTTAAAAATTTAAATGCCTCTTAAAATGTAAGTTAAAATTTAAGAAAATTTTAAATCATATAAAACTTACTTAATTGTAACTGAATTTATAAATACTAAACATAAGTATCAATATAAAATATTATAAACTCACCTCCACCACCACTAGAACCACTACCATCATGTCACCGTCACTATTATCGCCATCACTACCATCACTACTACTACCACCACTGTCACCACCATGCCACTGCCACCACTACCATCACTACTACAACAACCACCACCATCATGCCACTGCCACTACCACCACCACCACCACCACCACCATACTACTACTACCGCCACTACTACCATCACATTCATCACCATTATCATTATTGTCATAAATACCACCATCATTTACTACCACTAACATCGCTACCACCACCACCACCACTACCACTATCGTCATCACTACCACCGCCATCACAATATAAAAATTAAATTATATAATTTAAAAATAATAAATTTCAAATTTGATTTTATACATATCAAATAATTTATTTTTAATTTAGCACTTAAATTTTTATTAAATAACTTTTTAACTTAAAAAATTCAATATTCAGTTTTTAATACTTAACTTTCATTATTCAATTTTTAACTTTATCAAACAACACTTAAATGACCATTATATAAATTAAACAGTTTTATCACACGGCTTAATTTTCATTCTCCAGTTTTCAATCTCATTATATGAATTAAACACATTTAAAGACCATATGCCCAAGACCCAAATGACTTTTTTTCACTGTCAAGGGCACTAATTATTTTTTAGTAGAATGTAATGCCTTAATACTTTTGCTTATATGTTTGGTAAATCTTTTATGTTCGACTCTTTTTAACTTTTTCCTTAACTTTGGCACAACCCATGTCATGCCTTCTGTCATTGTGCATCAAAGTGGAAAATCTAAACTTTTGGGGCATAGCACAAAAATGAATTTATTTATCCGTTTTTGAAGTCTATAAATAAAACATAAAACTTGAGTCGTCTACCGTAAATCTTATATTTAAAAAGTGATAATCTTAACTTAAAATTGTAGAATCCATTGTGTTAAACAATTCAAAACTTATATTTTATTAACCTATTTTGATGTGTGTGTAAACAAAATTAGACTCAACATAGCACCACATAATTACAAGAAAGTTTAGGTATATTGAAAATGCATGATATAATTGAAAAAATAGGAATAATATGAAACAATCACAAAGTGCCATTAATTAGATATATAGTCATGTGAAAGTCACATAAAATAAATATTGAAAATTTAAATTGTTTAATAATATTTTATCTTTAACGAACACTTCATAGATAGTCGTAAACGTGTCATCTTCTTTAACCATAAAATATTTTTACCAAACAAGCAATACATATGCCATTCAGGATAAAACTATACTCATACAAAAAGTAAAGGCTTGAATTAGAGTAGATGTCATAGAAATGATTTTATGAAAATTCCCCCAATATATGAAAACTGTAATATATTACTTCTATTCTCTTTAACCGCTTC